TGACCTTGAACCAAAGCTGATTGTTATCTTAATAACAAACCTGTAGCAACAAATTGTTGAGTGCATGGTTTTTCTCAGGGGTTCAGACTTTATAGCTCGATCAAGTCCAGTGTTACATATAAAAAACAAAATAACCATTTAATTTCAGATTATCAATACAGGGATAATAATAATTATAAAATAATAATAACAAAGAAGGTTAATTAAGGGGGGCGGGGGGGGGGTGTTTCCCACATGTAATCTCAGAGTATCTCCTGTGGGAGTGGTACCAAAGAGGGATAACTCTGGGTGGCGATTGATAACGCACCTTTCATATCCTGCAGACAGCAGTGAAAATCACTGTATAAACCATAGTAAGTTCCCAGTCATTATTATATACATCCTCTGGTAGACAAAAAAAGGTTGGTGAAGGTGCATATTTTGTAAAAATGGATATTAAATCAGCAATTAGGCTTCTACATACGTTCCCTTGGGATTTTGAGCTTTTAGGATACAAAGTTGAGGGTATATATATTACTTAGATGATTTCATATTTGCGGGAGAAGAAAGGGGGTCATCCTTAAATTAATGCAAACATTACAAGGGGTTTGTATTCAACTGGGGGTTCCCCTTAACTGAGGACAAAACGGTTTGTCCCACTCACTGTCTTGTAGGCTTAGAAAAAGACACAATGCAAATGCTGATCAGAATACCTCTTGAAAGTGTATCAAATTGACGTCCATACTGTAGGAACATTAATTATTAGTTCTACGGCATTCATAGTCATTGTTACGGTAGCTTAATTTTTCTTACAAATTTGTTAGGAGCTCGTATGATTCAACCCGGGGGTGTCTAAGCCTCACCATCATATTATGCACAACAATGAAAATAATCAATTTAAGATATAGGCGTAAGTTTCCTAGCACAATTTAATGGTCAAGTTTATTTCCAAGAAAGTGATTGGTCGTCAAATTGAATTTTAGATCTGTATACAGATAGTGCCGTTTCTGCACATCTGGGTTGTGAAGCATACTTTTGAGGGCAATGGTGCTATTTCCCTTAGCCACGTGAATGGGTGACTACAGTAATTCAGATATATTGCATGACATGACAACACTAAACCTTATCCCAGTAGTTTTGGCTGTCAGTTTAAGTGGTAGTCAGCTTGCAAATAGGAGAATACGGTTCTATATCGATAATGGGGCATTGGTTATGGATTTGAATAAACAGTCCTCAAAATCTAGTAGAGTAATGAAATTAATTCGTTCATTTGTGTTAAACTGCATTTTAAACAATATATTTTATCGAACAGTTCACGTGCGTACTAATTAATAACATTGTTGCCGATTCAATTTCTCCTCAGCAGCTGTGGCACCGTTTCTTGAAGGCTGCACAACATACATCACCAGAACCAGTACTGTACTAATCGAATTGCAGAACCTCATATCTAGCATAAATTAAACAAGTTGTTAAGGGCAGAATTTTCTGAAAACAGCAAGGCTTATTAATTAGGCGTTAGGCAAACTTGAACTGCTGCGTGCAACAAGGATTAAATATTATTTGCCCCCCTTGTTATTTGATTGTTAGATTTGTTGCACACTGGTCAATAATCAAAAGCCTGGGATTTTCGACAGTTCGTCATAACTTAGCTTTCGTTTCTTATCATTGCAAACTTTAAGGTCATAGAGACCTAACAGAAGAGTTCATAGTTTAAAGTTGTTACAGTGGTTAAAAAGCACAGCTCACAGCTTTGACAGTAGGTTGTCAATTTAAAGATCGGATCCATATTAAAGCAGATTCTTAAAATTCTACTCTGCATATGTACAAATTCATATGAGGCATCATTAATCGCTTTCAGCTGCATTTTCTATTGTATATTATAACTTAAAAAAAAAAAATAGTATTCTCCGACAAATCCTCAGATAAAGTTGTTGCCAATACATAAATTTGCCCCTGCGCTAATCTTCAAAGGCTTTAGAAATTAGACCGACCCAGGGGTTCAATTCATTTGTCATTATTTCCTTAGCTCCTTTCAGGTCTTCAACCTCGAGTTTTGGGACTACAAATCCCACTTCTTTCGTATTGGGGCAAGTACGGAATTTGGGATTTTATCTCAAGTTCATCTCAAGTTATCCAATCCTTAGGAAGATGGAAATCGGATTGCTATAAACTTGCAAATGTATTCCAGAATTTTAATTAACCTCAAGTTATATATATAGTTGTTTAGGTAATTAATTACCGAGCTTATGCAGAAGCTAAGAATATGCCTGGTAGGTGACTTAAATTTGCTAAGATTAGATATTTCAATTTGGTGGCAAGCTTGCAGTGGTATATAATTTAAGGAGATGATATTGGGAAAAACAACATTGAGAAAATTAAAGAATGTCAGGTTTAAATTCTTGTAATTTATTAAGGAGATCCAATTTCCTCTTGTGTACTTAATATGGGCTCATATTCTCCTCGCATTAATTGGCATTAATCTGCATACAATCTGGCCTTGGAGAATACTAGAAAGGGGTTAAATGCATTTGTCTTTAACAAAGTGTGTGATGTTGGGGATTCCGTAATCCACTATCCTAACATCAAAAAAAAAAAAAAAATCATGCCAAAATTATTTGAAAGGGATGGGGTACATTTATCCAAGTTAAGAAAATAAACTTTTCTTAAAACAATTTAGGGGGTATGTAAGCCAATTATTAGGCATGGATGCAAGTTTTAGCCATCACATTAATGACTGATATCTGGAGAGGAAGGGTCACGGCTGTTTCAGGCCGCTCAGGACCCCCACTATTAAAGTGGCGGCGCCCCCATTCGTAGATGCTTTGTTCAAGCATATACGACTGGGGTCTTGTGGCGAACTGAGCGGCATACATCATTTGAACTATGATGTAACATGGGTTCATTATTGCACCGCTGCACCACACAGGGTCAAAGTTGAATACCATGTAAATATTGTGACACTGTACACAAAACTATTTTATTTTTATTTTTTTCCTTGCCTTCTGCACCTCCCAGAGTCCTGGATGTGTGATTATTATTCTAAATATTTTATTTTCTTCCTTGACTTCTGCACCTCCCAGAGTCCTGGATGTGTCAATATTATTGTTGCACTGCAACTTTTCATTATTTGACCTTGACCTCTGCATCTCCAGGGGTCAGGGTCACCTGATATGTTGATGTTGTACTGAAATGTTGTTGACCTTGACCTCTGCATCTCCCAGGGTCAAGGTCACCTGATATGTTGATGTTGTACTGAAATGTTGTTGTTGAACTGAAATGTTGTTGTTGTTGCTGGGCCTACCCGTTGCTTGGAGGCCCGAAATAATATGTTGTTATATTATTCAGCCGTGCCCAAAAGCGCCAAATAAATATAAAACCCATAAAAAATTTGTCTTTGATTTATTGCGTCTATCCAAGATAATATAGCATCTATCTCGCCCATATGCGAATAAGATGCTTTTATCTTGGCAGCGCAATTTTTTTTGGCGCAGTTATCTCTCCTTGTTTCGGCACGAGTTATCTAACTTTCAATTGTATAAAGAGAGATGCTCGTGCCGCGAACTCTCTCTTTGCCGGTTACACGCTAGTTGCAAGGTTGATGTTAATCAAATTTGAGAAAACAATGGCTAAATGTAGAATTTTATAAATCCCTCCCTACCCTTATCCCCCAATTGTACATTGTTGAATAGATACTGCTGGTTTTTGTTTTTGTTTCTTTTCAGTGGAAAATTTTACAAAGCAAATGATCATCTCTACCTACATATTCGGCATGGCTGTCACTTCTGAAGATGGAATGTGAACTGACATTTCTGAGTTTTACAAAGCAAGTGGCCATTTATACCTACGTATATAGCATGGCTGTTACTCCTGAAGATGGACTGCGAACTGAATTTTACAAAGCAAGTGGTCGTATGTACCTACATATTCGGAACGACTCTCACTTCTGAAGATGGACTGCAAACCAAGTTTTACGAAGCAACTTTTAACCTGTACCTACATATTCGGCACGGCTGTCACTTCTAAAGATGGACTACGAACTGAGCGGCATACATCATTTGAACTATGATGTAACATGGGTTCATGATTGCACCGCTGCACCACACAGGGTCAAAGTTGAATACCATCTAAATATTGTGACACTGTACACAAAACTATTTTATTTTTATTTTCTTCCTTGCCTTCTGCACCTCCCAGAGTCCTGGATGTGTGATTATTATTCTAAATATTTTATTTTCTTCCTTGACTTCTGCACCTCCCAGAGTCCTGGATGTGTCAATATTATTGTTGCACTGCAACTTTTCATTATTTGACCTTGACCTCTGCATCTCCAGGGGTCAGGGTCACCTGATATGTTGATGTTGTACTGAAATGTTGTTGTTGAACTGAAATGTTGTTGTTGTTGCTGGGCCTACCCGTTGCTTGGAGGCCCGAAATAATATGTTGTTATATTATTCAGCCGTGCCCAAAAGCGCCAAATAAATATAAAACCCATAAAAAATTTGTCTTTGATTTATTGCGTCTATCCAAGATAAATGGATTTCTGTAAGTTCAAATCAATTTTTGAAATTCAATGAATTTTCTAATTACAAAACATTTTTTTTTTTCAGAAAGATGTTCACATTTAAATTATAGATAAACACCGCTGAATTTTAATATATCGGCGAATTATAAGACATAATTCAAAATAGTTTTGTTAGAAACATATCATAAAAGAAAATCACAATTTATTGCCAAATCACATATTTTCAAAGGGTTAAATTTTCGTGCGAGCAAATTGGTTCATAGGGATTTTATTTCGTGGTTAAAGAATTGTTCAGTACTAAAGTAAGTGAAAAATTACACTTCGCGGTAGAAATTAATTCGTGAATCTCCTCATACTTTGAAAACCACGAAAATTAAACAACTACGAAAATTGTGATGTCACAGTTTAAAAAAAATTTTGATTTGGATCCCTTATACTAAATTAACAATGTGATGTGCTGTTGTTGCGAAAAATAAAAAAGGTATATAACTCAAAGATTCATCATATTAATATTAATAAGCTTTTTCTTATATGAAATAAAAATAAATCATCAAGCAATCTACATTCATGTACAATTAACAAAAAATGAAGACAATTATTTCAAAAACCCGAGGTTGACGGGATATCAATATCGATGTTCTCATACGTCGTGTTTGTTCTGTGGTAATTAACAGCTGTGTCAATGTTATTTACAGCATTTCTTTTTCGCCGATTATGAATATAAATGTACACAAAAGAGTGAGCAAATATTAATAAAAGATCCACACATCCAAGTGTCACTATGAGGATGAGAAGAAAATTGTTAACACCGGAAGACATGTGACGTGTGACCTGGACCTCAGTAGAATTCTCTGTCATAGAAACAGTACTCTCTTTTAAGTTGCTAACCATATAAAATGTTTGTCCATCTAAAGAAAGGTAAAAAGAAACAATAACAATACATGAAACAGAATAACTTTGATCATCAATAGATGGAAAACTGTTCATGTAATTACAAGAGAGAGAGAGAGAGAGAGAGAGAGAGAGAGAGAGAGAGAAAGAAATGTACGAAAAAGTCACGTAACACGAAACAATTACAAAAACATGAACCAACACATGAAACTACTGATGCAGAGATTTTTTTTATTATTTCTTTAACATGGATCAGAAATCTTTTTTCCCTTTTTAAATCTACATTTGGAAGAAACTTCGTGAAATTGTATTTAAGACGCTTTACTCTTTTTGAGAATCCTTCTCTTTCCTCCCTCCCCTTGCTCTCTTTCTTCTCTCTCTCTCTCTGTCTCTCTCTCTCTCCTTTTAGTTGCAAGTCATCATTACACCCTAGCACCGAAAGTGAGGGGGTATACTGCATTACTCTGGTCTGTATGTCTGTCTGTCTCTCTGCCTGCCTGCGTGTCTCTCCGTAACAAATTTTCCTCAGCAACTACTCATAGCAGAAGTTCAGCAACATCTTTGCTGATGTATGCAATATGATGGTATAACGCAGCTAGGATAAGACTGGCCGTTAAATATCAAACTGTAATGAACCTCTCTGAACTACCTAGATATGACGGCATAATAGAATATGACGCCAAGTCACTGCATACTTAAGCTGACATGACAGGGAAAGTGTCATAATTTTTACATGGCATGTAGATTTATGTTGGGGACTTATTGTTTAATTCAAATGTTAGGATTGTTTTAAGGTCGAGTGTGCTGTTATGATGTTGAACATTTGAAATTTAAATATCCTTAGTCCTTTTACTTGTCCGATATGCATATATAACAACAATAGAAAAAATTATATGTGAAATGCTCCCCTTACACGTCCATAGAAAGAGTTAGAATTTGCGAATTGTGTTTATATTGGACTGGCACAAGTGATAAACAAGGACAAATTGAAGATATTCTTTGTGAATCTACAAGAGAAGTATGACTGTCAGCTAACTGAATCTTGCTGAGGTATTGTGTGTAGCATAGTTTATCCATTTTTGTATAAATCGCGATAAAGAGTGAAAAATACATCTTCTTATGTTGGTAAGTTTAATTTCTCATAAAATATTTTCTAAACGAGCAAGAATTAAACCTGTCCCCTGCACTTTCTATGTACTAGAGATCACGATGAATTGATCTATGTAACAAAGTTTGCACGATATTTTTGGTTAGCACTTGTGCCGAAGCGATTTTTGTGCAACAATTAGGAATATCAAAATTCTCCGTCACGTGATCATAACAGTCATGTGACTTCACATAAATGCTTATAAAACACCTGTTTAAACTTTTATCTCAAGATGTCTGCAATTTCAAACAAGGATAACATATTATAATTGAAATCTAGCTCAGAATAAAATGTATATTTTCAAGGCATTTTAAGCCTTCGGACAGCCTTATCATACATGTAACTGCGTAATTCATTTTTGTTCAAATTAGATTTGAACTTCCTGTTTATCTGTGTGTCTGTCCGTACCACACATAAAAAATGTTGCAGGTATTTTTTGTCAGCAGATGATTGAAATTTTAGCACATTCTTTGCTATGGCATGCCATATCGCAGGATTCATTTTAGTTCAAATCGGGTGTCAATATCCTCTTTATCCGTGCGTCTGTCCGTAACTTACATGATATATCGTTTAGCTTTTGAGTAATTCAAATTATTAGCATAAAATTACAGCCCGTTTGTTATAGACAAGTGGGGTATACATGAACAGAGATAAGTGTTGATCATAAGAAATTATTGTAAAAAAAATAATTTAAGAATCCCCTTACCAGTGATAAATATTCTACAACCAATGGAAGCATCACATAAATTTTCCTTACAGTCACATTTCGTTTGACATCCGACTCCATAAAGAGGATATGGACATGTTTGATTACAGTTTACTCCAGTGTATCCGGGTAAACATTCTAAATACTATAAATAATGTGAATAAAATTAAAACATGGTACACGATGTTTTATGTTTCGATTTCAATTAGAAATGTAGCAAACTTCAAGATGGTCATTAAGGAAAACCATAGACGGTAAGATTTTGTTATTCTTGAATTAGTAAGAGTTTTAAGCCAAGTACGGTTCAAAATAAAGATCAACCGACTATGTTTTGTTTATATACTAGTATTCAAAAGTATATTATTTGGTCCCGTCAGCAAAATCTAAACTTTTCCTATGCCTTTTGAATATTTTGAATAGATAATTCGTAAACTTTTGACCTTGATCTTGGCGTTTGGTCTATTTTCGGAAAAAAAAATTTACACTTGACCATGTGGCATTAACTACTGAAGAGTCCGGAAGTACGTGTGTATTACCCCAAAACGCATTTTTTTTTTCAAAAAACAAAAATCTTTTACTTACTTTCACATTGCTGGGTTTCATAATTCCATTTGTAATTAGAACAACAGCCTTTCAAGCTCCTATAAACATTAATTCTTTAAAAGTTACACTTGAATTCTCCATTCTATTTGATATTTAATATATATAATTACTTTTTTAAAATTGAATCAAATAGTTGTTTTTGTAGATAGAAAATAACTTACTTTTCACATATTGGAATTGCAGCTGAAAATGAACAAAGAAAACTAGATGTGCTTAACAACTTAAAGATAAATGTCTCAATGATAGACATCATGAAGCCTCACATTCGATAGCACATGTAATATTTACACAAATAAATGCCTGTACCATTTTAATGACACATAGTTGCATTTTTAATTGTTTTATATTAGATTTCCTTTTTCCGCCTGGGCAATTGGAATAAATAGTCGACCGAATTTTAAGGACGTTGTACATAGTATACTCAGGCTGGGATATCTCTTACAGTTTAGATATGTTTTACTCTAATATGTATGTATTCTATTTATACTGAGGATAATATTTTAAAACATCTTGCTTAAGGGACTCCGACCCTCAGCTAGGAAGGACAACTCTTTAATTTATAATTTCATTCAAAAAATCTTTAAATGAAGTTTGTAAATTAAATCTTTTCATGCAACAATATTTTATTGTATACCTCTCAATGTGCTTCAAGGTTCTTTGAACTTCTCAGAAAGGACTAATTATAAGTAGAAATTTTTATCCCGAAAAAGCATTTTTAGATACCAATGTTTATTAACATGATATGAAGTTAGAAGTTATTCATGGAGCTTTGCAAAGAACCTTGAAGCACATTGAGAGGCATATAATAAAACTTTTTGCATGAAAATATTTAATTTTCAAGCTTCATTTAAAAGGTTTTTGAATTAAATTATAAATCAAAGAGTTGTCCTTCCTTGCTGAGGGTCGGAGTCCCTTAAATTAACAATTTTAAAATTGCATAGCTTTGTGAACTTTTAATCTTGAATATTGTATGTTATCGTCATACATTTCACTTTTTTTCGTTTTGGTTATTCAACTGCGAATATAAAATGCTATATGAAGTAAAGACAATAACCATTTGGAAATAAGTGCATAAGTGCGCACCTGCATTACAACTCTTTAATATTAAATAATATATATCATAAGCCACATCAAAAAAGTGTATTTGAATTTTATTCTCTTAATTATTTTGAGGAAATTAAAATTAATTTTATCTCTGATACAAGAACCCTCTATTATTGATTATGTTTCATTATTTTTAGATTCCTAATTAAAATAATTCCTCACTGAACAGCTGGATTGATTATTATCCTGCTGAATCTGTCAAAAATGAAATCATATTTCAGATATGTGTTCTTCTTGATATGGCCTTTCTTTGGGTGCCAATGTATTTGATCTTTTAATTTTGGAGTTTGCCCCCTATTTTCAAGAATTATGGCCTGGTTCACTTCTCTCCCCCCCCCTTTTGGGGGGGGGAGGGGTATCTAATGTGTGTAGGAATTTTCAAAGAAAAATCTATGCAACAGGGCTTCCCACAAGCATGCCTCCAGTGAGACTGACTTTTGTATGCAATTTGTTAACTCATCTCAGATCCCTATAACTTGACTGTGATGTTCCAGTCACTTATTATCTTTGGAAACACACCTCTCTCATGCAATTTTATATTATTTAACACCCGTGTTAACTTGATATAAAATGGAGATCTAGAGAAGTCAAAAAATTAAAATATGCTGAGAACCACTATCCAGTCGTAATATTTGGTGAATACTTTTTTATCGTGTATAAAGTGTTGATGTATTTTCGAAGAACACTATGTGTGTGTTCAGAAAACTAGTATGCATTATTTTATAAACAATAAAAAAATCTTACCTCCCTTTATTTGTATTGATGCTATGTAACACAAAGAACTTCACAACATCAAGCGATTTTTATTTACGGACATATTCAGTTTAGCCTTGCATGTTATATATACTATTTTGTATTCCGAAGCATAGATTAGCACTACAGTTAGAACACATTTTTTCACAAAAAAAATCGTTAGACAAACAGGTGAATTTAAAGGCATGTTAGGACAGCTTTTCAACATCAACATTTTAAAAAAATGTATTATTCCCTATAGGAAAAATGTACATAACCATTGATAAATCTAACCTTATAACATCACAACCTTTTAAGATGCATGATATGCCTGAAAAGATTCACAAAACCATTGCTAAAGTCTACGATATATCATATTTCAGAAAAGTATTTTGCCATAAAAAAATGTACAACCATATGCACAAACCTATGTTTACGATATCATTGTCTAGTCTTTTTTTATTCATACAAATTTTATTCACATACAGTGAATGGGATTGGGCAGCAGGCAAAGCCTATTTTAGCCCTCTCCCTACAAGGTCAAGATCAACACACAATACATTGTATATAGGTACGAAAATAAATAGACAAACATAGTAACAAAGAAATAAAAAAAAAGGAGTAGAGAAAAAATTACAATGTAACAAAGATTAAAAAAATACAAAAAAAAAATTACAATGTATTACGGGGTAGTAAGTGTTGGCATAAGTAACATACATGACCGTGTCAAATAAAAAGTTAGGTTGCTGCAATGAAAGCATGTACTACTTCAAGTTCATGAATAATATTTTTGGATTGTTTGTTAAAGTACATTTCTTAGACAATCAAAGAAATAGTGATGAGCATCTACAAAGTGTCAAATAAAACGTTAGGTTGCTGCAATTAAAGCATGTAATGCTTCAAATATTTGAACATTAATACCTAGTCCATGATTGGGTCTACCATGCAAAAATAAATCAATTTCATAAATAATATTATGGATTGTTTGGAAAAGTACATTTCTTGGAGAGGTATAGTGATGAGCTTCTTCACAGTCATTATTAACACATTGGTGTTTCTGACAAAAAATGGTTACATTAGTCTGCCTTTAAATTACTTGCATTATTTTGCCACTGACAATGTATTATATTGTATTTTGTTAATCAAAAATGATAAATTTCTTTACCTTCTTTTTTTTACAAAAATAGAAATTTAAGAGACCTTTGAATAAAGATATTCCAGGAGCATACCTGATATAATCAGGCAAGCTTAAGAAATTCCACAGTTTAATAGTGGATGGAAAAAAAAAACTTTCCATATATGATATAGTTTTAATAGAAGGAATTTTGAATTCTGCATCATTATTTCTAAGATTATAGGGGTGCATTGAAGGACGAAAAGGTTCAATCATTGTCTAGTATATTGGGTATGTCAGGGTAGGGCGAAGTATAGCCTACGTTCTAGACAGTGATTATTTATAATTATATTTCAGTTTTGTTGTGAAAGAAAATTGTATTGTAAATTTAGATTTTTAAATGTTGTCTAACAGATGAAAATTATAAGAGGCCTCCCATGTCCACTTCAATAGACCCGGCCACTGACGTCAGGCACAAAGACAGCCATACGATATATACTTGCATATTCGGCTTAGCTTTGCTCCTGGCCATTTGCTGTGCGAAAGTTAGATTCCGGTAAAATTATTTTAAGATTTATTATAGAGATCAAAAGGAAACTGAAATATTAAAACATCAAGAGCTTTTCAAAATTTTACCATAAGCTTAAGGTTTCCCTACAAAAAATCGTCATGTTACAAGTATATAAGAAATAGGGTATCATTTTAAAACTTTTATAGTCAATTTGATCATATGACAAAAACGTTGTTTATTTATATTTTGATAAAAGTCTAGACATGAAATCTAAATCTCTATATTATCATATGCGTCTGTTTTATGACAAGAAATATGTTGATTTACTTTTTGTGCAGACCTTGAGGTCCACGCAGAAAATATATATATATAAGCGAGGTTAAACCGGATGCAATGGGCAAATGTCAGGCATTATTTTATAAACAATAAAAAAAATCTTACCTCCCATGCGCGTAACACAAAAAACTTCACATGTTAGAATGCTAGAGAGTTCGCCCCCTAAACTTGCCCATAAATAATTCGTCCTATTCGAAATGGAACATGTCATTCATTGGCAAATCTCGTTTTCAAATCTGCATATCGTATTTTTATATAGATTCATTGGAGGTGCAATATTTCTCTCATATATATATATACACTTTCACATACAAATTAAACATTGATTCTATGGCACAAGCATTTTAAAATGTGAAAAGAACTTGCAGTATATAGTTTATCAACTTTATTTAAAACTTCAATATACGACTAGTTTAACCTTTAAAAAGAGATTAAACAATATTTCACTGGCATTAGTTATATGCATCAACAAGAGGCCCATGGGCCACATCGCTCACCTGAGTAACTTGGGTGATGCAGATCTTTTTAAAAGATTTGTTCTATATATATTTTTATGTAAAACTTGGATTCCCCATTGTGGCCCCGCCCTACGCACACAGGGTCATGATTTTAGCAATTTAATATCTACACTACCCAAGGATGCTTCGCATTGCTTCCACATAAGTTTCAGCTTTCCTGGCCAAGTGGTTCTTGAGAAGAAGATTTTCAAAGATTTGTTCTATATATTTCTATGTAAAACTTGGATTCCCTATTGTGGCCCCGCCCTACCCCCGGGGGTCATGATTTTTACAATTTAATATCTACACTACCCAAGGATGCTTCCACATAAGTTTCAGCTTTCCTGGCCCAGTGGTTCTTGAGAAGAAGATTTTTAAAGATTTGTTCTATATATTTCTATGTAAAACTTGGATTCCCTATTGTGGCCCCGCCCTACCCTTGGGGTCATAATTTTTACAGTTTAATATCTACACTACACCAGGATGCTTCCACATAAGTTTCAGCTTTCCTGGCCCAATGGTTCTTGAAAAGAAGATTTTTAAAGATTTGTTCTATATATTTCTATGTAAAACCCTATTGTGGCCTGCCCTACCCCCGGGGGTCATGATTTTAACAATTTAATATTTACACTACCCAAGGATGCTCCCACATATGTTTCAGCTTTCCTGGCCCAGTGGTTCTTGAGAAGGAGATTTTTAAAGATTTGTTCTATATATTTCTATGTAAAACTTGGATTCCCTATTGTGGCCCCGCCCTACCCCCGGGGGTCATGATTTTTACAATTTAATATCTACACTACCCAAGGATGCTTCCACATTAGTTTAAGCTTTTCTGGTCCAGTGGTTCTTGAAAAGAAGATTTTTAAAGATTTGTTCTATATATTTCTATGTAAAACTTGGATTCCCTATTGTGGCCCCGCCCTACCCCCGGGGGTCATGATTTTAACAATTTAATATCTACACTACCCCAGAATACTTCCACATAAATTTCAGCTTTTTTGGCCCAGTGGT